GGAGTTGTTTTTTTTTCTGAAAATAGCAGCCGCAATATGGTAGAATTAATTCTCACTTATTTGTAACATTTGAGAAAATGATAAATCCATTTAATAACAGCCGAATAGAACTCCGATCTTCAACAAGGCTGTTACGCATAACTTTCCCAATCCAAGTCTGAGGTTTGGTAAATATTAAGCAATTCTTGAATTATTGACAAGCAAATAAATAGTTTTCCATACATTGTCCCATACACATTTTAATGTTCTCCTGCAAATAAATTCATTTAAATAGAGCCTTTAAAACAAATCTAAAGAGCTGTGGGGAGCCGAATTGACCCATGTTGTCAAGAGGCACTATTGAGCTTTTCAAAATCATGAAGATTTCCAGGTCATTGTTCAAGACTTCATTGAGGAATCTATGAAAAAATATCGAAGATTAAAAAGTTAAAGGACAATATGATGAAAGGATGGTAGGTCGGAAAAAAAAGGTCGAAGGAACCAATGATCGAAGGAACCAATGATCGAAGGAACAAACAATCAAAGAGGCAAACGGTCGAAAGGACAAACAGTCGAAGGGACAAACGGTTGATGGGACAAACGGTCTAAGGAACAAACAATCGAAGGGACAAACGGGCGAAGGGACAAACGGTCGATGGGACAAACGGTCGGTGGGACAAACAGTCGATGGGACAAACGGTCGATGGGATAAACGGTCTAAGGAACAAACAATCGAAGTGACAAACGGTCGAAGGGACAAATGGTCAAAGGGACAACCGGTCGAAGGGACAAACGGTCAAAAGGACAAACGGTCGAAGGGACAAACGATCGAAGGGATAAACGGTCGAAGGGACAAACGGTCGAAGGAACAAACGATCGAAGGGACAAACGGTCCAAAGGACAAAAGATCGAAAGGACAAATGGTCGAAAGAACAAAAGGATAAAACTCGAATCAAACTTCCAAGACAACAAAAAGTTGTGAGAATAAAACTTGAATACGTTTCATATTGTGTTACATATTGTGTGTGTGGATTCAGATGATTAAATGAAAAATTTCAAACATCAGTGAAAACTTCTCATACTATGGAAAGGCCTACAAGAAAACAATAAAATGTAAATGTTTAATAATTCGATCATGGATTTTGTCTATAAGAACTGCTGAAGAAGAAGTTATCTCTAGAAGTATGAAAAAAATACGAGTATTTAAGATAGATTGTTCAAAATCTTTTACCTGTTCTTTTTTTAAGAAAGAGACATTTTCAGATGTAAGAAATAACTATTATTCAGATCGATATTTTTTAAAAACGTTTATCTTTTTAAGAACTGCTCATGTTACAAATAAAGAGCAAACCCTAAGAGTGCAAAATGATTTTTGAGTTGTCTGAAATAACTGCTCATGTTTTAGATAAGGAGACATCTCCAAGAGTGAGCAAATACAAGGTTGATCGGTAGCTTTAATCTTCCAAAGAACTGCTCATGTCATAAAAAGGGCTCAACTTTAAGAGTGATAAATAGCATATGAACATTTCAGTAAATTTCTCAAATTGCGTCTTAGTTTGGATTGTCTACTTGCTTTAATCAGAATACTGCGTTTTCAACTTTTTGTCCCATTGACTTTTTGTTCTTTCAACCTTTTATCCCCTCGACTTTTTGTCTTTACGAACATTTGTCCCTTCTACCATTTATCAATTCGTCCGTTTTGTCCCTTCGACCTTTCGTCATTTTATTTTGTTTAAATATTCGACCTTTTGTGTCTTCGGTCTTTTGTCTTTTCGACCTTTAGTCTCATTGATCTTTTTCACTTTGGAACTTATCTCCTTCGACCTTTTGTCCTTCATCCTCATGCTCAGTCGGTAAAGGCGCAGCTATAAATCAAGACCATGTTGGAGGCGGGTTTTAAATTTTCGGGTTAGAAAATGTTTCGACTTTTCTGGCCAGTACAGACACGGTATTACCAAGCCGAAGACGGCGGGTTCGATTCCCGGTCTGGTCTAGAACATATTTCTTGTTGAAAATGTGCTCGACTTCCCTGGGCATAGAGTGTCATTGTGCTTGCCACACAATATACAAATCCATGAATTGGTTGACATAGAAACCTCTAAATTAGTAATTTTGGGAGTGCTTCAAAGAACATTAAGATGAGAGTAGGCGAAAAAGAAAGATCCGTATTTAGTCAAATAAGGTTCTCAATAGGTTTGGTTATGTAAACAAAAATGTATGTATCTTCGTCTGTTTTATAACAACTGACAGTTCTACATTCCGTAAGCTGTGTCACTTGTGTACATGCAGGTTCCTACCCAGATAACCAGAATGCACGTATATTCAAATTTGCTTTCGTGATATACAAACAAACAAATCGTATAGAATGCAAAGAAATGGCTTATACGTACAAAAGTGGAGGCCATATACGTGCAAATTTTAATTTAATTTTAAACGATTTGATTTGACATCATATATGATTCAATCTGTAATAACAAATTCACTTTGAAAAGTCTTACGATGTAATCCGATTTGATTTGTGATACAGTACAACGAAAAAATGAATCATCGCATATAGATCGGAAAATTGCATTCTATACGATTTAACTTAAACATAATCCGATGCATGCCATTCTTATATGCGATTTTGACGTAAACTGTAGTAATTTACGATACTATCTGCACATTGTTATACGACTTCTGGTTTTCTGGGTAGTCACAGCGAGTGCTGAACTTACATTTCCAATTGACTTGATGACTACGAACGTGGCAGGCATCATACGATCGACTTTCTGATAGCCAAGAACTGTCAAGAACATCAGAAACAACCCAACAAACAATTTTCACGACGTAAATGCTTTGCTCATTTCATTAATTCAGCCTCAAGCTGCATTAAAATGATATACGATATTAGGCAAGCCTTACTCAACTCTAAACAAGCAAATTTAGTGTTAGTCAGCTACTTATGGTTATAGAGCTTTTTGACGTTTAATCGGCACACACTATTGCACCATTTAAATCGAACGAGTGCGAGCAAGAAGGAAACATGTGTGCTAGAAAGAGAAAGACGATTAAACGTCAAAAATATTTATTGAGACAACACGAGAAAGGGGTAAACCAAAGAGAAATTCGATGACGAGAATCGATCAACAAAGATAGACCCTTTATAGCTGTTGTTCTACTGGTTGAGTTGGGTGTGATTAACTTGAAAAAGGCGCTTGTTAAGCCTTTAATCACTACACAGCTTTATATTGAAGCCGGGTTAAATATTGTTAACGCTATTTTTTTTTTTTTTTTTTGTAGAAAGAATTAATTGATTTTATTTAGCAGCAAATCAAATTATTTGAAATTATTTAGTTACGGCACAACACCCTGCTCCGGAGCCTGGACTCGAACTCGAGACGTTCACATTGTCAAACCTTGACACTGCCAACTAAGCTACGCCAACACTTTGAACTGACGTAAATAATCTATATGCCCTTCTACAACAAGATCGCTGAGTAGAGGCTTTATAATAGTGCACATGTATCACTTTTCTTGACTAGTTAATTCAGCTTTATAAAGGAGCAAAATAAAAGCTGTAAAACTTCACACGTCTAAAAATAAACCTAGTTGATTGTAAAAATGCTTGAACAGTAGCGGTAACACAGGTCATTAGCTGAGTTAGCAGGCTGCTTATTTGTTGAAAAACTCTTTTGATGGTTATATTATTCAGCACGAGTGGTTATTTATGTAAAAGACATTAAACGAGTGATATATTCACTTTATTAGCTTTGTTTTGCAGCTACTAGTTGAAAGTTGATTAATATATGTATAGAAGTGACATTAGCGTTTATTGGCTGCTGTTATCCAGTGCGACTGACAAATTGAATACAGTGATAAACTTGAGTAAACGCTATATAAAACTATTTTGCATAAAACTAGATTTAAGTGAATTTTGTTACAAACAAAGAACAATGAACTATAGGCTCCGTAAAGCTAAAGCGATTGAGCCTTCCAAATAAACGAACTAGTAAAACAAAATGTTGAAAAAATGGCTTATAAAGCTGAAAATGTTAGTTGGGGAAATACTAAATTCTAGACTCTAGGTCCAAAATATGCAGTCATTAATTCAACCCAAACCAAAATCTTCCCTTGAACCGTTATGCGCGTACATAATTCATGAAATCCGGAACATATCGTGATCTTTAGCGTAAAGGACAGGGATTCCTAAGTCAGGGCAGTTCTAGAACTATTCAAATGTAGCAATTAGTGTCGATTGAATCATTCTTCTGTGTATTATATTTAAGTTACAATTAAAGACTCTCAGTTTTGTTAAGGTGAGCCGCTATGGAAGCATTAGAACACAACAACAAAGAAACTAGAACTTCACGTTTGCTGCAATGTAGTAAACAGGGAGTTCCAATGCTTGTGCTCTAGAAAACATTAAGTGATAGGCATCAGGCATCACGATGGCCATCTTTAGACTCTTCAAGGAATCACCTTAAAGCCACGTGATGCGATGGTTGTAATTAGAATTTAAATTTTAAAAGAAAGAGATATTTATAATGTTATTACTCTAAGCTAGATGAATGATTCCATTATCAATGAAATTTCAATCAAGATGTATATTGTGCATTCTAACCGCGCCAAAACATAAAACTTAAGAGGGAATCAATAATAAAGCCATGTAACTGTCAAGTAGGTTGTCCAAATAAGCTTAACACATAAAACTGTTTATCTAAAATTAAATCAGGATTCTATTCAGTAACTACTCAAACAATAAGCTAACATCTAGAAAGCAGCAATATAATTAATACAGTAAATAGTCAGTGGTTAGCCAAAATAGTAACAACACAAAGCTGATGAGCTCAATTAGACATAGAATGTAGCAGAATAGGATGATACGAGTGTATTGTAGCAGGAAGGAGAGCATGAAACGAGAGTAGACCAATGCACAGCATGATGGTCCAACTGGGCCAGAACCCATTCAGAACACTGTGACTCGGTGATCGAGAAAGTAAGAGAAAAGGTGCCCATGAATCGCCCGGAGCATTTCTTACTGCTTTCCAATTCTCTGTTCGTTTCCTCGTATAACTGTTTCCATATGTCCGACAAAGCCACTGGATGGCATATCACCTCTGTAGATCGAGACACTAAGAGAAAAAATAAAAATAAAATTCAAAAAAGCTGGCAATACTGCTCTACCTCACACAAATTAGACACACATCTAGCTCGTTGATATTCGACGACGTTGATACCTCTTGTATTTTAATCATAGATAATTGATAAAGCCCTAAATGTGAGCAATGCAAGTTCAATAAGCTGCTTACCTATACGGGATGTCGCTCAGATTGCTTTGGCTATGAGAATGTGGCACTTTAGTACTATCCTTCACCCCGCATACGGCTAACTCGTGGGCTGAACCAGACAGGCTTCGATCACTTCCACGTCGTTTGGAAAGGCTATTTACCATACCAGTTGCTTGAGAGGCGGGCTGCAATAAAATCATGATTTTTAAAATGTTCATATGCAGTAAGTTTGAAATACAGCGCTACCTGTGACAGAAGCGATGGATTAGGAGCGGTTGCTGTTGATCCCTTTTTCTTCGCTCCACCACCAAATCCAAAGAATCGCTTCTTATGAGACGGTTGAATTGCATTAGCCAACAAACTTTTGTAGTGCTCCGATCGAATGAACCGTGGATAACAATCCTTCTTCAGCAACAGCATATAAATATGTTCGGCTGCCGAATCAAATGCAAATCGTGTCGGATTTTTCAAACCTTGATGAACTTTTTCCATTGTTTTACCATCGATGTTGATCTCACATGGCGCACCTGGCTCGAGAAATTCTCTGAAAAAGTAGCTAGGGTGAATAATCCGTATAAAACAAACATAAACTATTACAGCGCACTTACTCATAAATATCCTTAACCATCCTTGATATCTGCGAATGGGACGACCTCCGCAAGTCATTCACCGCCATCCAAAACCGGATATTTTCATGGGAGTATTCCTTCTTCAAATATGCGGTGAACTCCTGCAAACCCGTCGGATCAGTCACGACCTCCTCGATAGAAATACCCCAGCGCTTCACTCGCTTTTCGGTTGGCACATCAACTAGGGGGTTGTTCATTTGCCAGAAACTCACATCTTCGGTGACCCACGGATTCGATGGAAGTGGTGGATGCATCATTGGATCGTACTCGCTGAATGTTTCAAAGTACGTCACTAGACTTTCACAAGCTTGGGACATCTTCACTCGGTTACGCCCCAGGGAAGCTTTTAAAATTTCCACTTCACGTAGCCAATCATCAACGGTCCGTTTCCGGGGCTTGCCCTGCCGGTCACGAGATGGAATGGGACAGGATTCCAACGGAGTGAATTGACCCGGAGGTGGGCGATGAACTCTCCAATAGGCTCGTTCCTGAGAATCTCCAACAATCTTATCACCTTTCTTTCGCTCCTTTGCCAACCGAACTTGCTCTTCCGCTTGCATGGTGATGAAGTCCCATTTTCCTTTAAGATTTTTGTGCAAGCTGGCCATCGTTTCAGCTTCGTAATCTTCCAGCCCGTGGCGTTGCTTGTTCCGAAGAGACCGTTTTGTAAGATAGATGGCATATTCGATGTTGTCGGGTGCCTTCTGCTGCCACGGCCAGTAGTATGGTGTCTGGAAGCGATACAACGACGAGTCATCCTTCACGACCAGCGTCTTGGAGTCGGAAACGGGAAAAAAGTAGCCGTGCATGCACAGCTGATTGCTGATGTTTAACGCTTCCGACTCTTCGATGACCAACCGCTCCATCAACCATTCGATTAGATCATAGCCTAGTCAGATTTGGGTGGTAAAAGGCTTTAGTGTTGATAATGGAAGTGCGAAAAATTTAATAGTGAACTTACCCATGAACGCAGAAGGAATTGAAGTGAGGAAAAGTTTTTGACTACGTACTGGAACACCCGATTCAGGATCCTGCATCTCGCGTACCAGGCCTTCCATCTGAAAATGAGATAAGTAGTGCTTGTGTGAGTTTTAGACATAACTTGCGAAATTTAATGAAGAGAAAAAGGTCTCGCTGATAGTCCTAATTTGTACTTCGATATTTTTTTTTTACAAAAAGTTACTAAATTTATTAGGAAACTAGCGTTATTTATTTTTAACGATTAGCTTGGGACCGAAGATAGTACCAGAGCTGAGCCAAAAAGTTGAGCTTCGGTACCTTCTGGTCTTAGAGTTACCTCTATGGTACCAACAATCAATACGAAACTATCGACTAACCTATTGGTCCCAAGCAAATCGATTTACGTATCCCATTCCAGTCAAAATTCTAGTACTACACAATGTTTGTTTTGATTCGCTATGAAAGTTTGACAGATAAAATGAGGGGTTATTGGATTTTCCTATGTTTCGAGGGGTGAATCGATTAGCTTGTGACGAAAGATAGTACCAGAGCTGAGCCAAAAAGTTGAGCACATTTCTTCGGGACCTTCTGGTTTTAGAGTAACCTCTATTGTATCACTCCATCACTATTGAGAAATGATGAAGTATTCGATTTTTTTTTACAGTTGGCATTCTTGCATTTATCGCAAGGATTCGAGTCTCATTGAAAGGTCTTGCTTTTTATACTCTTTAGAGTGCTTAAACACCCTCCAAAGGTATGCCCCTTTGTCACTCAAAATTGGACGTGGGACGTACCAGCCCCAGGCTGAAAGCCTCCTTAATAAAGATAAATCAATAAATCAAAATTGAATTCCTTAGCAACAAAATTAAACAATGACACCGATAATGACCATGCATCAGAACCCTAGTCTTAACCACTTCAAACTAGGGAACAACGAATAGAAGATTGGGAATCACATAGATGAAGACTAACTAACTCATTTTTTCCTTGTTTCAAGATCATGCTCAGTGTACAAAGCCGAGTCTTGTTACTATCATTAAGGCATAAAAAGTAACAAGGACTACGATGTGTTCCTTTGATTACTGAAAAATCATGTTACCCTAGTTTGAAGTAGTCAGGACTAGGAATCTAGGTGGTAGATCTTACATCGCGTAACGTACCACGGAAAGGTGATCTACCCACGTTACGGCGCTAATCATTGGATTACTCAGAATTCATTTTGTCATTAAGTTCTCTTTTTCATACATGCACATTTATTTTTTTTATTTTACACCTCGTAATGTTTTCTTGAAGGCCCAAAAGAACATCATCTGAAGGATTTGAACGAAAATAATGATGTAGGAAAGTTCCTTGTGAACATCAATTCAAGTGTATTTAAATAACAGAAAATGGTCCTTGTTTAAAAATCTATTGAAAACGTGCACTATTGTGAAATTATTCAGATTTGATTCTTTAAAGTAGACAAAAATCCAAGAACAAGAACTTTTGGCCAATTTCTAAAATTCATATTTAAGACAGTTGTTGTGCAAATATACAGCCATTCCATAGCTAAACGATATAGTGGTTCTCAGAATTTCGTAACAATTGATAATTTTGTTCCTTATCGCACATTATTTTACCAGTATTTTTTTTTTATGTTGTCATTGAGGTGACCTTTCCATGTTAGGGTGAACCAAAAAACAAAATTTTTTTTTCAAAAATGACTTTTTCAAAATAACCTCCAAATTACAAAATGACAAGCGATCAACGACCTCACGATAACGCTTTGTCAGAAATAGAAAAAAAAAATAATGATATAGTATTCTTCCTTTTCTTCATGACAACCAGTATCCGCAACACAGCTCGCTCGGGCGGGTAGAAGGAAACGACCAAATTGTTGGCAAATTGCTTCACGAAGTAAAGCCGATGATGAGACACATGTGTTAATGGTGTGTTTTTTAATGTCTTTTCTTGATTCCGATCAAGCGTTGTCCTCAACCATGTAGGGTTTTTGATCAAATTTCCGTTGTACTAAGCACAACCCCCGCTTTATCTCTCTTTTTTGAATTGGTTTGAACAAAAATGGATTATTTTTATCAAAGATGACTTCTAAATTTATTCACCTTTCCATGCGTACCGTTGGATTTGATGAAGAGTGACAAGTTGTTGAGATATTGTTTAAAATCTAATACTGCTTCTTGATTCTAAATTCGTTTTACGAGTTACGAGCTGCGCTCTAACGCATTGAAACGCCATTGGATTGTCTTCGTCCTACGGATAAACGTAGAAAATGGGATTCGCTAGGAGCGCTTCTTTTGTTTTGAGAACAATGAGTGTAAATATTCATAAAATGCGCTCTAAATAGGTTTTATGTTGTAGTTAATGAGCTAACGCATCGGAATAAAAGGTTTTATTGATTTGTACACGGCTAAATCATTGATATTATTGATCTTTTCTTATCGATATAACGGTAATGGGCGATTACGACGAAGTAGCGATCTACCCTATATTACAACAAAGCAGGCAAGCAATATATCGTTATCCTTATACCATTCCGATCGAGCTGTGTTGCAGAGAGAGTTTGTCGTAGTAGTCGTAGCAATCGTCTTGTCTGTATGATTGGTTGCTTTATGTGTTTGGATTCGCTGATTTTCATTGATTTATAGATACTGTAAAATGGTCACATAAACGCTAGCCTTAGTGTAAGGCAGCGAAGAAGAGAAGAAATAGCAAAAACGCAAAGTATAATTGCAAAGAGCGCCACGTAGTGTAGCACTTCCTCAACTCCTATTCATGCAAACATGGTGAACAGACCACAAAGAACTCAAAGAAGACGTTCGCTACTTGTTGTTTTTCTTTCGTTCCCTACACCGCACGGAGTCTACCGCTCTTTGTGTGGATCGTTTTCTCCAAGATTAGTTGGAAATGAGTGTGCGAAGCAAATGAGAGAACCACATTCTCTTTGTTGAGTGTTCTGCGATGCATGCACAAAGTTGCTTGGCAAACGCTCTGAGGCACTTTCCAGTCCTGCATAAAATATTATTTGACCACACCGGATAGGGTTTACAGCAGTTTTTATCTTTCCCAATTGTTCAATAAAGGTGTTTTTGTGCTGTCTCAATAGACACACGTGGAACAGGCTGGGCGTAGGAATTTTAATCCATGCCTCTTACGCTGAATGTCACGAGTTCAAGTCTCATAACCGGACAAATCACGAATGACCAAAACAGTGTTAAAGTGACTATAATAATTGTAATACTCTCGGACATGGAGCATAAGGCTAGCTTTTTCTAAGACCTTAAGGTTGTTCAGTTTACTAGACTTGAAGTGAACTAAATAAAAATCATTAGAAATCCCGTTGCGCGAATCGCCAGGACGGGATTCCATTTTCATTTTGATTACTTGGAGTGGCACAACTCCAAGTAATTTTGCCAGTTCTTTTTTGATCTGATCCAGGGATTCACCACTGGGCAGTCCTTTCATGACAACCTTGAACACACGTTCAGTTTTGGTGTCGTAGGTAAAAAAATTGTGCTGCTTCTCAGTAAGATACTTGAGAAGACATTTAAATCAAGGTTGCAAAGACCCATTTCAGCTAAAATAATGTTTTTCGGAATAATAAAACCAAAAGATGGTATGATGGCATGTTTTACTTGTAACTTACAAGAAGAGGTTACAAAGTATGCGTTGGAAACAGAAAATCATGATCGCTGAATGAGTGAGTGAGTTTGTAAAAAATCGCTGATTGTGACACTCATGAAGTGAAATAAACAGGTTTAATATGTCAAACACATTCTTTGCAACCTCTTCTTGTATCCTACTAATTCCAAAGTTGATCATGGCATCTAATTATTTCATAATTTAGAAAAACATTGTTTTAGCTGAAATAAGTCTTTGCTACCTTGATTTAAATCCGTCTAAGGTTTCAGCCAATACACGGCATTCACCCCGACGTCCAATTTGTAGTGAAAACTTAACTTTCACGAAGTTCAAAAGTTCCATGCGAAGAGCATGGAAATCGGAACTGGTTATCACAATAGGGGGAATCTTTTCCTTCTTGACATTAAACCGGGAAAGTTTACTAGAATTTTTCTTGGATGATGGATCATTCTCATCATCCGTGAGCAAATCAAATTGATTACTCAAATTAATTTCATCAGAAGGGGGGTCAAGAGTTTGCCCCTTTTTTGCGTTTGGGCGCCATGTCGGCAGTAAATTTTTATCCAAATCGACTTCCAAGCAGATTACTATAAGAATCTAAAGGATCGAAGAGGAATTTTCCAAATCGATATCCAAGAAGGATTGCCTCGGGTAGGGTCCAAACATGGATCGAAGAGGAATAAGAGTTGAACAAGGTAGAAATTTTACAGGTTGAGCACTGAAAAGTGCTGTTTAAATTTGTTGTAGCTTTGGGTAGTAGTAACACTTCCTTCAGCAAAAAAGCAAATAGATCCGCACGGCAAGAGAGCACGATGCGGACTGGTTTTACACATTGATGATGATTGCTAGCCCCAAGCATCGTCTATTGGTTCTCTGTGTAATTACAGCTGATCTATAAATAACAGAGTAGCAACCATGGGCGGTCAATCATGCTCATGCTCATACTCTCATGTGATTTGAGTTACAAATGGGTTTTGGTCCAAGCCAGAAACCGGACACTTCCTCGTGGATATCTGGAATATGTCCAGATGTAGCCAATGTGGTCCTGAGCACTTAGTAAGTTTTAGAATTCTCATGGAATTTGAGAGGCGGGCATTGCACGGTTTAGGGCGCCTAAAAGCTCATAGTTTAATACAAAAAGCTTCTCTATGCACTAAGAGTAAAAATTATTATCACCATTTGCTAATAATTAAAAGTATATCGAACACATCCAAATCAAAATTTGTTTTAATTAATAATAAAATCAAATGATGCTGATAGGTGTGCTTTTGTTTTGTCATCTACGGCAACGTGAAGTAATGCCGACTTTAATTACATTTCATAACCCCTTCTAACACAACAATTCTTCAATATTTTGAATTTTACACCATCATATCGTTTAATCGAGAACCACAAATGACTCCTCTAAAAATCAACCTGCTGCAGCTGTTATGAGCAAATCAGTAGATATGTTGGACTT